TACAGCTTGTGGTGTTTGCCGATGATACTAACGCTGTTGTTTCGGCTGACAGTATACGCACTCTTGATTGCATTGTTAATCAAGTCTTAGATATCTTCCACAGTTGGTTTGCTGTCAACGGTATCAAAATTATTGCCAGTAAAAATAATGTCATGCTGTTTCGATCTACTTCCAAAAATAAGGATAGCATTAACTGTGCCATTAATGGAGAAAAAGTAAACGTGGTATAACTGAATTTATTAGAATTGTTGTTGTGTGTTTTGTTTTTGGTATTTTATGGATTCATGACTATATTTTATTGTATTTTGTGTATTATTGTTTTATTTTTATTTTTGTTATAATTAATTTTGAATTGACAAGTACAAGGAATGACATTTAACTTAATTGTAAAGGCTAATTATTGCATGTATAATTTTTAGAATATACAAATGAAAAATGAAAATGAAATGAAATGAAATTGACTCTGAATTTTACTAGTACTATAAGTAATCTTATTTTCGACTGACCAATATTTATATTATTTAATTCGCTATATTTTACAATTTTAAATATTTTGTGACATTTTTTTACATTATCTTTCATCCCTCCTTTACAGGGCCAAGTATTTATACATTAAATTATTGTTGTTTTAAACAGTCCCCTCTTTACAGGAAAAATAATTAAATTTGACACCTGTATCCCCTCTTTACAGGGATACAGTACATATATTTGAGAGCCAGGTGCTTTTCTTGCTTTGATCTCTCCCCCCGCCATGATGTACGACACAACCCCCGAGTCGCCAGCTCCTCGTAATGAGGTCCGAAGGCTATTTCCGGACACTGAAAAGCAGCCAAAGAAGCAGCGCAATGCGGCCCTAATAAACAGTGTCCGGCGTAGCCAAGACAAACGGCGGGAGCGTGATCCCTCCGAGCTCGCACCCTCTCCGAAGTCCCCTCAGCCCGCTCGAACAAGCTCGACAAAACCAAACAAAATGTCGTCTGAATTTAAAATGGCGATGCGCCGGTAATGAAAACCACTTGCACTCTTGTGTACGGCGCTAATAGCATAAACATGCAAGGTTTCGAGTGTTTCGGATAATCATAACTGTATCGTTTTTTAAAGTGGACCATCTTAGGAAGCCGGCCATTTTTGGCAAACCTACGTAAGGAAACAAGGTCAAAGGTAAAATAGGTGGAAGTAATAACAGAGAGGTATGAAAACTTTCTTAACGTTTAATGACTAAGACGAACAAGTAACAAGGTAACAAGAGCGCGCGCGTCACGCGGCGGGCGCGGCGGCGGCGCGCGCGGCGGCGGGCACGCGCAGCACGTCGGCGCCGCGCAGCACGGGCAGCGACGGCCGCTGCAGCACGCCGCACGTGTTGGTCGACCCGCGCATGCGCACGTAGCCCTCCTCGCCCCACACCGTCGACCACGAGTTCTTCAAGATGAAGTACGTCTCCCCGCGGTACACTGTCCAACCCACCGCTAACACGGCGTGGTTCAGTTTTCCTTTTCGACTGGAAACAGACGTATACTAAGTAAGTTTTTTTTTTAAATCAAGCTTGTTTGCCTTTTTATAATTTTTTCAATTTCGCGCAAGTATCGCGATACACAATCTACATAAAAATAATATAAGTCAACATTTTAGTTAAAAGAAATTCTGAACACTAGCTGCGATTTCATTGTTCCAACACATGTTCAATTTTTGTAAACACTAGATAATTCTTCAGGCAGAACCAAGCGACACAATATTATTACAAGCTTTTATTTAACCAATGTATGTAGGGTTGTACGCGTGCCAAGTGGTAGCTTACAAAGCTACATTTTAGCGATTCTTATACCTTCGACTGATTGAGCTGATATATGCCTAGTTTGAACGCCCACAAATAGCAATCTGCATATAAAGTTGTTTTTATATGACTACTTGAGAAACAAAAATGATAATACAATATAAGTACAATAATGTGTTAAGGACATAGTATTTACCATCGACCATCAGAATAATAGCCACTCTTATAGCTGGCGAGGGAAGCTGTCTCGCCGTCGATAATGACCACCGTGGGCCCGTATTTCCTGATCGCCACCTGCACACATTTATATATTCAAGCACACGATACACATGTACACGCAGACATCTTCATGTAACGAGTTACTAGTGGGTTGTTACCTTCAGTGCCACGATATTGTTCTTTGTGACGTTGAGATGGCCACTGATGCGAGTGACGGGCGGCACACTGTTAGCGCGGCACTGCTGCACCTGCACAGACACAAACACATCAACACTCACGACCATCTAGCTCGAAGTGATGGAGTATTCACTATCTCCTGTTTTTGTAAAACTTCATACTTCGGCTTTGTAGCTGTACTCGTCGAGTGCAGGTACTCCTTCATTCTTCATATAGTTGTAGGCGGCAGACGGCCACGTGCCCTTGCATCCGTTGCCACCGTATCTGCAACGAGGTGTATGTACGCGTGAGTGACGTTGTACCCACGAGCAGCTCGACAGTCGACACTGTACTCACGGCTGGGCGCAGTCCACGAGCGCTTGCTCGCTGAGCGGCACGAGGCGGCCAGTCTGCACGAACAGGGCGCCCTCCACCGCGCCCACTGTCGCGTGGGCCCAGCAGGAGCTGCATAGCCCCTGATCTACAAGAGACAGGCGAGTGAGTGCGTGCACTTTAGCAGGGTGTGGAGCGTGGCGGACGGGGCGGGTACTCACTGCGGACGTGGGTGACGGCGCCGCGCTCGCGCCAGTCGAACTTGCGCGGCAGGCGGCCCCGCAGCGCGTCCAGCTCGGGGCGCGCGTGCGGGAAGGGCATGCCGGGATCAGCGGCGGGGTCGGGCTCCACGCCCAGTAGGACGCGGCGCTCCGCCTGCAGCCGGTCGGACAGGAAGTTGACTTCCAGCTGGAAGGAGGCTCCCTGTCGGTTGCCGGATGCCACGTGTCGGGAGCTCTGCATCAATATGTTCTTGCGTACTGCTAGCTCCAAGTCATCGGCGTAGCTCCGTTGAAACGTCCTCTTGTACCTGAAGGCCGATGACACACCGGATGAAACACTGATGTGTATCGTACGTGGAGTTTACTTCTGCTGCGACGCACTCACTGCTGAATGTTGGCGTCGTGGCGCGGCGCCCGGGACAGCGACGTGAACTCTCGCAGCGGCTCCACGTTCTCCATTTTGTCTGTGACTTCGACTTGCTCACATGCGTCGGCTAAAGAGTACATGTTTATATATTAGTGCTCGCGACACTAATGTCGCGTCTATGTTTTAATTAATTTAGGAATACTTTCAAATGTAAGCTTACAAAATAGTAATTCAAAATGAAACACTACACTAGGTACATTAATGTAGAGTAGAAGTAAACCTAAGTTGATAAGGTAATCTGCTTTACTAAAGATGATAAAAATGTTTTTTTTTTCCTCAAGACACAATTAGTAAATGAAGCATGTCCAACGCAAGTACCGATGTCGAGATGGAACATTGAAGGGTCGTGGTGCTGTGTCTGTACTTCGTCGAACTGGTGTATGTACCCGTCGCAGTCAGGGCCCAGTACCGAGCTGTCCACTCGCACGGAGTATCTGCAAGCGGAAGTGGAAGACGGTGAGAAAGAGGGCTGGCGCTGTGGTCGGTGACGGGCGAGCGACACAGAGGGCGCACTGACCGCAGCGGCGTGGTGGTGTAGTTGTCGGCGGAGCGCGCCAGCAGCAGCTCGTGGCGGAAGGTCAGCGCCTCGCCGCGCGCGCCGCCCAGCTCGCCGCTGTGGCCCGACAGAGTGTGGCGCCACACCTCGTTGCCGTGCACGTCGCGCCCTGCAACACGTGCGCGTCACTCTCGAGTGTCGAGCACTGCGCCCCGCCCCGCGCCTCCGCGCCCCCATGTCCCTCCACTCACCCGCGAAGGAGAAGGCCTGCAGGTCCGGCAGCGCAGGCAGCGCGCGCTCCGCCAGCGACACGCGGCGCGGTGGTACCACGGTACAGCGACGGACGTCAGTTTCCCCCGATCGATCTACGTGGATCTGTAAGATGTCACCAGCTGTATTTATGTCCAACATCCGTACAAAAAACTATTTGTCCGTTTTAAAAATGACATGACGCATACATGTATGTATTCAGAAGTCGATACGTGGATTTGTACTGTGTACATTAGAATAAGTGAGACAAATAATTGGAGTTAGTATAAAGTTATAGGATATGTAATTAGTATGAACGGCTCACCATGACGCTCTGCACGCGGCCGTCGCGCCGCATCATGCGGTAGGACGAGGTGGTGCCGCCGTGGTAGTCGACGCGCGCCGCTCCACTCGCCGCGTCCCACCTGAAGTACACACACACATTCACACTTATTCTCAATAGAATAGATACTGGGTGTTTCCCCACACCTATCACCCCTATTCTATCTCTATTCATCCCTCAATTCCTTTATTTTGTATGTTTGTGTAAGCCATTAATTACAAAAGGGAATAAAGCTACTAGTCACGTAAGTATCGAACTCGAGAATTACGTGGCTGGTAGTAACACTTGCGAGCAATTTCATATCTTCAGTTGATGAGATGATTGTTTATAAATAGCGAGAAGTTGAGACCAGATCGAGTAGGGCTCGGTGTAGTCGGCGCGCGGCACGGTGAGGCGCGCGCGCATGTACAGCGACCGCTCGAACCGCGGCGGCGGCGGTGGCGGGGGCTCATTGGGCGCATGCGCCTCGCCTAGCGCGCCCCCCGCGCTGCCCACGGCCAGCGGTTCTAGAGATACCGAGCGGCGCCGCGTGCAGCGCAGCCTGCGCCGTGGTCCAGCTCGCACCTCGCCGCTAGCTCCCGCCGAAACTTCACCGCTCACTCCCGCCGACACCTCGCCGCCAGCTCCCGCCGACACCTCGCCGTGGGCCGAGTGCGCTCCTTGACTGGTAAACTTGGCCTCTTCCAATTCTTCCACTGTGTAGTCGTCGGTGCTGACGGTGGCCACGGGGTCGATCACGACGGGAGGTAGCATCGGCTCTTCACCGATCTGAGCGCGGAACTGCTCTAGCAAGAGCCGCGAGTCCGCTGTACGTGATGGACAAATGATTTATATTTATTACACCTACATGGATGAATTACAATCTTAAACAACTACACACATATTGTATATCACCATCACCGTAGGCACAACACAGGATTCTTCCAGACAGGGAGGTCGGAAGCGACAATAATATAATTACTCCTACATGTACCATGCAAATATTTCAACGTGTACGAGAGTATAAAAATATGTTTCTTTTATTAAAACGAATCAAGTGTATGTATACAAAACTTAGATGTCTCACCAACTGGTGGGAAGTAAGGCGCATTCCTAGCGAGCCTGGCGTCGAACGAGGGTCGCTGCAGCGGCGGCGGCGGAGGCGGCGGCGGCGCACTGTCAGGTCCAGGTGCACGACGTCGGGCGGCGAGGTCAGGTCGGGCGGGCCGTACGGGGTGGGCGGCGGCCGCACAGGTACTGAGCTCGTGAATGGCGGCCGTGTAGGGATCTCGTTGTACGAAGGGAAGTTGTTATACAAAGAGGTTTGACTTAAACCCTCGTCAGAGGCGGGTGGAGCGAGGTCGCTGACCGCGCGGTTCGGGGCTGGGACGGCGCACTCTGTAATAGGGACAACCACGTGACACGTATGTGTTGGCGAGCGCGTGCGCGAGCACGTGGTGCGTGTAGTACTCACGGGCGGGGGCGGCAGCGGGAGCGGGGGCGGGGGCGGGGGCGAGGCCGGGCACGGGGAACGACACCGGCACCACCAGCACCGACAGCGAGGCGCGCCCGCTGCTGTCTCCTTCTGAGTTAATAGTAAAAACATACACGGTTACAATTTGGTCATTTTGATATCGAAGTAAAATGTTACATGGTTGTAGGTACTTACATAACAGTTTTAGCAAATAGGACATAATTCTGTTTGTATACAGGGTGTCTGGCGCATGGACCGACACATTTTTCAGTAATTTATGAGGTCATTAACTACCTTTTACCTATACACCCTTCGTCTTAAATATCACGGTTGGTATGATTTCTTTATTGAGTGACCGGTATGCTTACAACACAATAAATAATTTCTGCAACTTGTAGCATACTGTTATAAAGCGTATTAACTACAGAACTCTTCAAAATAAAACTAAGCTAAAAATGGCTCAGTGTTTCTTTATAATTAATTTAGAAGTTGAAAAAATTTTAGTCGTGTGAATAAAACATTAAATTTGTAAGAAGTTTTAAGACCATTAGTGTGATTAGTATCAAACAAAGATAGTATTTAGATTTAATAGATTTTGGAGTGTACAACAAAATTAATTTTGGACCACTAGACGCACAAATAACAAATAGTTATTTTGAGTTAAAGGAAACATTGGGAATACTATTCATTTCAACAAAAAAATTATATGTAACCAACCCTGATATTAGGGATGAAGGATTTGTGGGTAGCTAATGACCTCCCAAGTTCCTGAAAAACATATGTCAGTCCGTGCGCCAAATACTCTGTATAATATACATATAATAAATATAATGTACTTTACGATTATAATAAATAAATATTTAAGTTAAGTAAAATGTATTAGGCGTGTCTAGATATAGAACAGTGAGCAAGTGGTTAAGAGATGTAAAAGAGATAGCAGTTGTGTTGTAATTACTTCAGTTGTAAATGTAATTAATCAAATGAATTTCAAAGTGTTAACTTGAATATCTTTTAATTATTGTCGATGTCAATAACAGTACGAATATTTAAAGAAAGTATTTTATTGACAAAAACAAATGTTTTGTTTTTTTATAAAAACAGGGGAGGTGTAGTGAGTGTGACACCTCGCCCTATAAGTAAGTAGTACACTACTTACTTATAGGTAGTTTATTCGATTAAGACACTTAATTAAAGGTATTCGTTAGAACAACACGTGTCCCTCATCGCTCCACGTTGCAGTACTCACGCAGCGGAACTTGCACAGGGATGGCGCTCGGGAACCAGGAGCCGCCGGCGCCGGCGCCCCGCGAGTACTCTGCACACATACAACACTGTTACACTCACACACTAGTGTCACACGTATACATATACACGTCTCCCAAGAATCAACAATATACTTGACTGTATTCAACGACTGCTTTGGGAACAATGAAGAAAAATTAATTACCTTTTTTTGAAAATATTACGTCAGACGATCTGACCTCCTACGTAATATTTTCAATTCCTCGAGATTGTACAATAATTCCAAGAACCGTGGCCATATGTGAACAACCTTTTCCAATTTTTGGCAAAACGAATGATTTATTGCAGATTGTGTTCAGTTCGTAATGATTGTACTCAATCTCAGCTTGAAAGTGGTAACTGGTAATACGAAAGCCCATTTTAAGGAACTTGTTAAAAGTAATGGAAGCAGGTGGTACACAGTACCCAATACACAGTACTGACCAGCTAGCAGACTGCGCCAGCGGTCGGCGGTGTCGGCGGCAGTGCGCGTGCGCCGCGGCCGCGCGTCCTCCGCCACACCAGCGCCTGCACACAAAACACGTCATGTACTACACTCCAAAATACGTCTGCAGAAAGGTGTTTTTAAATACAATGTCTGTAACAATTGTCTCATTTGGTAGTAGGTGAGGTCGATATACCGAGTATTCAATGAAAACATACTTTTCTTAATCCACACGGCCCCAAAGCCCATCTTACATAATTTTCACTTCAAAGGCCAATCGTGATATCAGGCCCAGATTAGGCTTAGGTAGTACACAGAAATCAAATTATGTATGTATGTGTATAATATAAAATCATGTTCATTGACTGTCGTCTGTCATAGTTTAAAATATATTTCGTGGTTATAATTAAAGAAAGACATTTTTAAAAGTTATTTTTTCAAAATTTCAGAAACAATATTATTCTATACATTTATGTTGGTACCTGTCTAACCGTCCAGCAACTGTTCTGTAGGAAACCTGAGATTCAGAGAAAAATTGTTCTAACATTCAACCATAGATGGCGCTTTTTAAACGACGTCTCATTTCGACCAGGTCTGGATCTGATGATGAGATTCCATGGAAACTGAGGGGAACTTTTCAAAATTGGTGGCGAGAGCGTTTGTTTATTTTTTTGATATAGTATTTGAAACTACTACAATTTGATGAAGGTATGGAGTTGATCTGATGCTGGAGTCAAGAGACAGCCGAGGGAACTCCTCGAGGATTTGTAGCAATGACCCCGTGTTTGGAATTAAATTATTTGTATTGAGAAGATCTTTCCGCCCAGATGAGATGTAATTAACATTAGGGATGATGGATGATGATGGATCACCGACATCTTACCTATCAGTGGGTGGGTAACCTATAAGTAGGTATGACTAATAATAGTTACTTTTTGGTTATAGTTTTGCTTGTTTTTAGGTTTTGGTTTTCGAAGTCGGTTTTTTAAACGCAGTTTTATTATTCTGACAGTTTTATGAACCGCGGTGTTGAGCGAGATTCTCCGCCATAACTGTCTTAAGATTTTATTTAATGTTGGTATAAATTTGTATCATTTTAGTTAATGTATCAGTTTAATAAGTAAGTATAATAATTCGAAATACAATAATACTTTTAATTAATTTAACTCCCAGCCTAACTCTCAATCTGAAAGCTTACATTTTTTTTTTATTTAAAACGTTGCCCCACACTAGGATTGTCTCCTGTGTCGTGGGTGCGTTTACAAACATACAAGTTCACATACACATGATACCCAGACCCGTAACAACAATCTGTGGATCACACAAAGAGTTGTTCCGTGCGGGAATCGAACCTGCGACACGTTGCGCGGCAGCCAGTTGCCCAACTACCGCACCACCAGTGCAGTCATATAAATCTAAAAATAATAATAATATGAAAATGAATAAGGAACAAAGTAGCGCCAAATAAATTATTAATGTGGGATTATTTTTGAATATTTTATTGATATTATTTGATTGTGACTCCCTCAGTCACAGCTTAATACTCAACTTCCGAAAGTTCTTTAAACAACTGACAAAGCTAAATGACTATTACGGAAGTAATTGATCTAGTTGCTTTGGAGTGGAATACAATACAATGATATAATATCGCACGTAGAGATGTCATACAACATGTGACAACGACTTTGTTTCTGTCGCAAGGGAAGAGTGGCAGTAATTTATCGTTTACTCACAGAGTTTCGAGAGTTTTATATTCCTCGTAGAACTATTTATAAAAAGTATATGTTTTAAAAGTGTACGTTATAGTTACAAACTCATTAAAGTCATCAATATTCTCTTTCGTTTGAGACTCCACTGGAGTATCTACATTTATAGACATTCGGTTATTCTTCCCCACTTTAACCCCCCATAACTTCATTATTAAGGTTGAATAAATCTGTATTATGAAAATCAATGTCACTATTCATTGTAATTTTATGACTCAAGAAAGATCTTATCTATCTAAACTTAATGTTAAGGCTTTGTTCGGACTATTTAGTGGACGATATATGTGAAGTTTGCTGATAATTGGTAGACCACCGGTTCTTAATAATAATATTTTTTAAATCCTTCCGGAATGTGAAAAAGGGATATTGCGCGAAGGAAGTCAGAAGCTAGTTTAATAAGAATAGACTTTGTGTGTTTCAGTATCTCTCTTTTGTTATCTATTTTTTATATATTATCGTCTCAATCAAATTCATATGTATGTTTTTTGTTTTTAAAGTCAATTCAAAGTAATTTCATATTTGGCAAGCTCGTTCTTCGAAACAGTATTTATACTTATTCAAGTAACTTTACTTAATTTACTTGAAATTAATACTTGACCAGTTATGTATCGGTATATTTCATAGTTCATCGATTCAGAGACGCGCTAAAGTAATCTCTTGCAGCGCCCCGGCCGACACAACACATATATAGTTACTGACAGTTTTATTGGACTCTAGACTTTATACATATGTTATAATAATTATTGATTCTCTGTATTTGTGTCGAAGTTATACCAAACATGGCGGAACACATAATTACCGACACTCGCGAGCAGCAGCAGCGCGAGTAAGCGCGCCATGCTGACACTGCACTGATACTGCACTGACACTGACACACTGACACACACACGCGCGCGTGGGTCGCTGGTTCGAGGTGCGTGCGCGCCGCTCCGTGGCCGGCACACTAGTGTCGCGCCGCGGACGGAGGCTGGGGGCATCTCCGTGAGGTCGTGCCCCTCCTCTTATCTGAATAATCTATTACCGCACCTCTAGCTCCATGATAACGTAGCGTAATCGTTACAATAATTTTGTAGTGTTGTTAACATAATATTATTATGTTCATTAGCTACTTCCACGCGGTTTCACTCGCTCTGCTTGGCGCCTATTAATCGTAGCGTGATATTTTATAGCCTTCCTCGATAAATGGGCTATCCAACACAGAAAAAATTATTCAAATCGGATTAGTAGTTTCGGAGATTAGCGCGTTCAAACAAACAAACAAAAAACAAACTCTTCAGCTTTATAATATTAATATAGATAGTATAATTATTATACTGACATGAAATGGCTCTGCCGACGCAGTCCGACATCCGCAGGCGTGATGTAGTGTGGCTGACGACGGTACTGCTGTACTCGGATATAGCACCACCACACAACTGTAGCTACCTATGTATGTATGTATGTACTTGCACGTCATTTCTGGCGTTTTTGTTCTTACCTTCGTTCCTTCAATGAAAATGTGAGAATTTTAGTTGCGTGAGGTTCAGTAGTGGTTAGTTCCGTTAAACGTTGTAGTGTGTACTTGTTGAGTTAGGCAGTACGAGCATGTACGAGCGAGTATGAGCCGAAGGTTGTCTTCGCACTCGCACGAGTCGATATGACTAACATTGTAAAAAAATCATGACATTGAACACGACGCGCGACGTGACAGCGCGCAGCGTGACCAACTGCCTAACAACTTCCTACTTTTGTGGGCACAGAAGAATAGTGGTATATCACGGGCACACATATGCCGGAATACTGAAACGTTACTCAATTTTAAGTCGTGCTTAAATATCGTGCCATCTCTGTCATTTTACAAAGAACTTGTAGGGACAGAACTATACTTAACTCGTCGAGTACCGGTTTTATAGACACAATTAAAGAACAATAGGTCGCGGTCACCGGTGACCGCTTGGTGTTTGACAGTTTAAACGCGACTAAAAATTGAGTATCGTTTGAGTATTCCGACAATAGTCACAGAACTGACCGACGGATAAACATCACGTTGCATTAATTTTACGTATGGTAAAAGTAGTTTAACGTCGAGTTAAATCAATCAATCATATTTTCGCATCGCATGTGTAAGTCACGCTATGTTCTCCACAAAAGACATCAACGCGCAACACGTTTTGTTGCATGTCGGTTCAGCAGGATTGAGATGCACGGTCGTCAGCCGGTGGTATCTGAGCATTGATATAATACAGTGTTAGTTATTTCTTACATCAAATAATGTTAATTATCAAAGTGCTAAATTGTGCATTTCAAACAGGGTAAAATGTGTCGATAAAAACACTTCTACAATATAAATATGCATAAAGAAGACACATAAATAGAGCGTATCTCCTGAATTAAACGATAATAGCTATATGATAATTAGTTAGTGATAGTCTGTAGACTTTTGCAGAGTAGTAGCAGTGGTATAGAGAGAGCCTCCGGTGGACTCCGGTGGAATACAGTATCGTTGGTAGCGGTCACTGGACGGGCCTTGCATGGTAGTTGGACAAAGGCTGGCCTTGGGACACGTTGACAGGTCAATCGATCTGCGCGGTACTTACCGAGGCGTCGCGCGCCGCGTGGACTCGTGGTGGACGCTAGTTAAGTATGCAGTAATGTATGTCGCGCGCCCACTCAAGGTCACGGTGCGCGCCCCTCGCGTGCTCTATTTCACAATAATTACGCGATGCATTTATTATATTATGTACCTGCATTTGCTACGTTATCCTCTTTCTTATACTTATTTATACAATGGATAAAGGTATATATATGCGAGAACGATGTAGGTAAATTAAAAACAAATAATTCAAAAATGATTTAGTTGCGCAAATAAGGTTTGATAGTAGTTGTTAAGTTTCTAATTTTATAATAACTTAGGTTTTCTTATTTTACTTTCAAGGTCAGCGTGCAAAAGTAATGTAGGTAGTAAGTACTTACAAGATTGTCAAATATATGTGACAATTAATTGAATTGAATTCTGAAATTTAAACTTTGTATTTTGCTGTGCCCGACAGGGTCCATCATTGTGTCCTAGCTTTAAGCCAATGTAACATCTTAAGAAACATTATGGAATGCAAATAAAGATATGAATATGAAAAAAATATGAATATGATATCCCCAAGACAAAACAAAAATAATACCTACAAGAAAATTAATGTAAAATATAAAGAGAAAAATGTTACAAAATTAATAATAATTGTCAGAAATTGACATTTCTGACATTTATAAGATGTATTGTGACCAGTATATCTTATAAATGTCAATTTTTACATGAATGTCACACATAATATTATTACCATAAATGTCACAGCAATAGGGTAGATGCCTAATTTTTTATTTAATGCCCGTCTGGTAGATTGTCTTAAATAGTTAGACACGTATTTTTATTTTTTTACAAAAACGAATACTTTTGCCGATATATTTATTTGAAATGTCACGTGACGTCACTTCTATGTACATTTTATACGTAGAAATGACGTTTTAGCCCCCACTCTTAAACTTTGATTCGTTTTATCTAAGTATTGTTTCTATAAGACAAAATAAAAAAAATACGTGTCTAATATATTTTTCATTTGGCTTTCAACCGGCCTATCTGGAAGTCATTGGGGAGGCCTATGTTCAGCAGTGGATGTCTTGTGGCTGATATGATGATGAATCTAAATACTCAAGCACACTGTAAAAACATTTGTCAATTAGCAGATTTGTTACACGTCAGAAAAGTTTTGTTTTTTGTTTTTAACTCCGCTGCCACGCCAGATTGGTGCATGGCGGGATGAGTTTCAGCGCGATCTCATGGCGGAGTGGCAGCAATGACTGTCGCAACCGAGAGCTGGGCTCGCTGTCATTGCAGCGTTAAGTCCCCTCTTTGAGGAGTAGCTTGAGAGACGCTACGGCGTCTTCACTTACTGTCTGACGCAGGTGCTTACCGGATATGGAAGTTTCGGTAGGTTCCTGTTTTGGATTAGGTGAAAGGAAAAGCCCGGGTGTCATCACTGCGAGAGCCGCCCGGAGGACACGGTGGAGCATACGGTGGCGGTGTACCCTGCGTGTGCTGAGCACCGCCGTGTCCTCAGGGATATGATCGGCGACGGCGACCTCTCGCGTCCGGCTCTGGTTCAGACCATGGTATGGAGCGAGGGGGACTGGGATGCCATCTCCTCCTTTTGCAAAGCAGTCATGCTAGCTAAAAAGGAGGAGGAGTGCGTGAGTGATGATTTTCCCCCCCTCAAAAGCTCAAATTAGAGGGAAACCGCAGAACTTCGACAGTTGCGGCAACAACTGAGTCAATGTGTACACATTTATATTACAATATCTCGAGAACGGTTGACCAATCAGTGTGACATCTGACATGTGACGAACATGTCACAGTACCAGGAACATTCTGATTTAAGAATTTTATTTCTCATAAAAAGAATATTAATCACTTAAGATATGAGAAAATACGATAACTTAAAATTAAACTACCGCGGCGGTACATTGAAATTTTTTCTACTAAAATAATATATCATTAGTTAAGAATGAAGGCATTACTAAAATATAACAAAAATAACTTTAGATAAGGAAATGGACATGCAGGTGGTACAAATGGGAATTATTTTAAACAAGTATTCACCAATGTGGGTGTCACAAAAATTAAAGTTGCTAGACTTCTTACGTGACTCATTTCGTGTCATTTTGGTAATAGCATCTCATAGATAGACACTTAGTACTATACAGATTTTTTTTTGAACATTGGGCTTTGTGTCTATATTAATTGGATAAATTATAAAACCACTTCGGTATTTCATACATTATTTATCCTTACTAATATTATAAATCGGAAAGTGAGTTTGCTTGTTTGTTCCACTTTTACGCCGTATCTACTAAACCGATTGCTTTGAATTTAGAAGACATAAAGTTAGAAGTGTGGATTAAATAATAGGGTACTTTTAACCCAGAAAAATTTGATGGTGCTGTATGTATTGGTATATGTCACATAGGCTACTTTTTATTCTTTTGTGACGCGAGCGAAGCCGCGGGTAAAAGCTAGTATTATATATATTTCGGTCTAACATATGAAACATGTTACTGTCATTTTTTTTAAAGAATAGAAAATTGTAATAAAACGTGTATTAAGAATAAAATTTCAAAGTGAATTAATGTTTGTCACTGAAATATATGTGGTGAGCTAGTGAGTAGTGTCCTGCGGCACGCGAGGTCCAGTAGCGTCCAGTAGTTCCGCGTACATGTGTACTTACTGTCAGTATCGACGTGAGCTAATCATACTCACCACACTACAGCATGCGATCGATACCTATGTGATTGGTATCCACATTCATACAGTCACGCACCTGCTGACTGTTCATAGTGATGCTTACAGTGGTATTTAACGATGTTGATTGATCGTAGTTTTGTATGTCAACTTTGGAACGCAGTTGGAAATGTTTGTCTCCCGTAGTCTAACAGTTTGTTATGAAATATTAAAATGAGTGAAGCAGCTGAAGTGGAGGAAGGTGTCGTGCGTCCACCAGTCGGCTTCACACGACGCTCGGCGGAGGGTCGGAGCCACGTCATCGATTACCGATACGTCGCCGCGGCCAGACAGCGAGGCCACTCGCGGCACTACGCTGTCACTGCCATCGAGCTCCACACGTCTTCACTATGGACTGCGTAACGCGACGTCTACATGTCAACGTGATGAATATTGTCCTATGAGACTGCAATCTAATAGAATCACCGAGGAGTCGGCAGCCATGCTAGAAATAGAAGAACCAACACTCCTGCAGACAGTGCGCGGTCACAGGAGCGAGGTGACGTGCGCGGACGCGAGTGGCGCGCGGCTGGTCACTGGCGGCGGGGACCGCGTGCTGCGACTGTGGGCCTGGGAGCGCGGCGCTGGCTGGGACGAGGTGGCGCGCTCCAGTGACGCGCATCGCTACGGCGTCACCGCGGCGCGCTGGGCGGCCAGCGGCGCGCTGCTGGCGTCGGGCGGCGTAGACGGCGTGGCGCGCGTGTGGAGCGGCCGCGACTTGATGCCGCGGCGGCTGCTGGCGGCGCCGGGCGCGGCGGCGGCGCGCGCGCTGTGCTGGGCGACACGCGCGCGCCTGCTGGTGGGCCACGACGACGGCGTGCTGTGCGTGTGGCACGCGGCGCGTGGCGTGCAGCTGGCGCGGCTGCACGCGCACGAGGGCGCGCTGCACGCAGTGGCGGCGCCGGCGCGGGGCGCGCTGTTGCTCACTGCCTGTACGCACAGCGTGCTCAAAGTTTTTGACCTCGCGGGTGAGTTCTTTATTTTTTCATTGATAGGTTTATTTCATTCACTTCTTACGGTTCCTCACTTAAATAAAGAACTGTGAAATCCCCATCATCAACTACCCACTTCAGTCTATTGCTGGACGTAGGCCTCTCCATTAGAACGCTACTGACATCGATCTTCAGCCTTTGCTGCCACGCTATGCCAGATAGAGGTATCCGTAAAGGAACTACCCATAGCGAATACCAAGACTTCTACCTAGACGCAGTCTCCATTCAAGAACACCTTAACCCCAACGGACCCCCGACAAAGATCAGCCTACTGCCCCTTCAGCTTGTTACTTAGCCCGATGCATTTTGATTTTCTTTTTCATGTTTTTGTCAGATTTACTCAGCTCTGATTCAATCCTCCATTGAACGTATCTTTCAACAGACTTCAAAAAATGAGCAGGTTCTCAATTCGACCGTATATATGCTTTTTTATGTTTGTTCGCCGATTGTAACTCCGTTATTTATGAACCAATTTTGATAATTTTTTTTCGTTGGAAAGGAAATAGTCCCAGAATGGTCCCATGATAAGGAAATCAGGATCTGATGATGGAAGACCAGGGAAACCGAGGGGAACTTATAAAAATTATAGGGGCGACTAGTGTATTTGTTAATTTTTTCATTAAGTATTAATAACAACTACAATCTGATAAAGGTCTGGAGTCGATCTGATGGTGGAGCCAAGAGCCAGTCGAGGGAACTCCTCAACGGTTAACAGTAGCTACCTTGTGTTTGGGTTTGATAGATGGAGCGCGACTGTCATTAGGGGTCTGATGATGAAGAAGTGTAATTGTTGTTTGAAGTTGTCTTAACAACTTGTGGCGACACATGCCACATGTCAACGGATGACGTCACAAGAATCCTACATCGCACATGCAAAGTTTACAAGCGAATAAACACGGATAGAAAATCCCAACGAACAACTGTTGGGCAGAAAGCCCGCCAGGCATGATCACCTCGCCTGGTCGGAGGATCCTCCTTTTCCGATCTTAGGGAACTATACACTCTGTTCCCTAAAGTGGTGACCCCGACGTGATTGGAAGCAACCTCCACTTCACGGAGCAGATCAGCATCATCCATGTCGCCATCCCTCTCATTCATCACTTCTCCGCTGAGCGGCAATCAAGTCACAGCCAACCAGCATCCTCGGCCTCATCAGGGACCACCATCGCCTGCAACGAAGTCGTGCAGCCTGGTTCTTCCCTACGGCCTCACTAGCGTCTAGGCACAGCACTTACTGCACACGGTTCTGAAGGACATCTCCTCCCGTCAACGCAGACGCCCGCCACTACGCACCTACCCTCGCAGCATCTCTTCCCCGACTCACCGTGGGACACTGCGAACTCATCTCTCCGACTCACTGGAGTATCGCCCTGCACCGCTCACCCGACTCACTGGGCACTCAGCGGCACAGTTCCGACTCACTGGAACTAGGGACTTTCTACACTGGTTCTGGCACCGCTCATCTCAAGCATCGACAGCCGTCTCAGCGGGATCGACCTCCGGTCTTGGGAGGGAGTGATGTGGCGACACATGCCACATGTCAACGGATGACGTCACAAGAATCCTACATCGCACATGCAAAGTTTACAAGCGAATAAACACGGATAGAAAATCCCAACGAACAACTGTTGGGCAGAAAGCCCGCCAGGCATGATCACCTCGCCTGGTCGGAGGATCCTCCTTTTCCGATCTTAGGGAACTATACACTCTGTTCCCTAAAAACTCTTCAACGGTTTACAGTAACTATTTTGTGTTAGGGTTTGTATAATTTGTATTTATTAGAACTTTGCACCTATGTGGATTATAAATGGCAAAACGGATTTATTTAATCTTAAACTTAAAATAATAAAATAAAAATATTAAAACTGCGTTTAAAAGCCGATTTCAAAAAACTAAAAGCATACAAAATATAGAAACTAAAAAGCAAAAATTAATTATTATTGGCGCCATGCGCGGCTCCGATTGCTTACCGTCAGGTGATCCGTCTGCTCGTTTACCGGCTTGTACCATAAAAAAATTCGTCTTTATGATATTAATGAAGATACATACCAATATGTCTTTCCCTACCTTATTTATCTGGAAGATTTTACGAGGTTTTTAAATAAGATGAGCCTTATTAGGCGACTGTATGTACCTTATAGTCACTATATTATATTATATATTCTATAATAAAAAAAATAATTCAATACGCTAACAAAGCAAGTTTACGTGGCACACAGAGGTATGTCGGAGCGGATGTAACGGGGTGTCGTCGTCGCCAGTGGTACCCCTCGCCTGGATGGACAACGTGCACGATCTGGGCGCGCTGTGTGCCGACGCCACGGAGGACGGCAACATGGCCGCCACGGGCGGACAGGACGCATTAATTCGGGTGTGGCATACCCGCGTGGAGGACGGCTGGCCGCGCGGCCTACTGCGAGGCGGGTACCGGCTGAGCGGACATAGCGCGGCCGTCACGGCGCTGCGCTGGGCGGGCTGGGGCGAGGCCGCGCTGCTGGCCTCCGCCTCGCTGGACCGCACGGCGCGCCTGTGGCTGCCGGCCGGCGCCCAGCTGCACTGCGTGCGAGTAGTGCACGCTCACCCGCGGTACCTCACCTGCGTGGTGCTGGCGCACGATATGCGGTATATGATTACTGGTCAGTCTCTCGCCATGTGAATACTTCTTATGCACTGCAACCACTGCTGCAAATTGAGGCTTTTGTTGCCTTACAGGTTCGAATGACAGGTCACTCAGGATGTGGTCGTTGGGCTCCCTCACGCTCAACGATGAGTTGGAGATTCCGTGTGAAGCACTCGCTCACTTCGGCCTCGGCGATCTCAAAGTAAGTCATACTTAAACCATACATCGAGCAGTATGCGGCCAGAGCAGTGACGTCACGACGTGCAATGTTTAAAGGGCATCGGACCACTCGACGACGAAGTGATCGACGAGGACGGTATTGCGACGCAGACGACAGTGGCAGGACGGCCCGAGGGTAGTGACCACACCTGTCTGCAGCACTTATGGAGCTCAACAACGCATTCCGGTGCCATCAATGACATCGCTACGCACGGGGACCTGGTAGCCACCGCTTCTAGGTAATGGTTATGGTCCGGGAGGCATAGAAATCAAAAAAGTGGACGTATGGCTCAGGAGACAATGATGTTGCAGCGACGGGCTAGCACGCGTGTTCCGCTGGAGCGAGGAGCGAGGAGAGCTGCAGGCGCTGCACGAGCTGGCGGCGCACGAGTACCCGGTGCTGGCGGTGGACTTTGTGGCCGCCGGCGCAGTGGTACTCACCGCGGGACTCGATGGCCGCGCCTGTCTGTGGGACGTCGAGGTCATTCGCTACTCAATCTATGCACCATACGAGCTCCTATGTACTTATTGTGTTTACTTATCAAAATGCCATATGATGCTATGGACTTTTGATATAAATGTTTGCCCAAGTTTTGTCCTTTGATGCCCACACTTCAAGTATCAATCAGCTGTTGACATAGTATTTAAGTAATGTTTATGATGCGCCAGACGGGTGTTCAGCTGCGATCGCTGTGCGTGCCGGCAGGCGAGGAGGGCGGCGCGGGAGGCGAGGCGGGGGGCGGCGGGGTGCGGGCCGCGCGGGCTTCTTCCACCCGCTCCGCGCTGATACTGCTGGGGACTGACGACGGCCTTGCGCCGCTGTGGAGCCTCGACGAAGACAACCCACAGCCCCTGCAGTCAGTATTGTGTGTGATTGTGTACAGTGATAGAAGAAAGAAAGAAAAATGTATATTGTAAAGTGGGTGTGTAGTAGAGTGTGTGTGTACATGTGTGTACAGCGTGTACAGCGAGCACAGCGCGGCGGTGACGTGCTGTGGCTGGTCGTGCGACGCGCGGCTGTGCAGTACTGGCAGCGCGGCGGGCGAGCTGCGGCTGTACGCGCCGCCGCCGGCCGCGCGCCTACTGCACTACGACCCGCAGGCACACGACCTCGGTACTACACGGCTTTTACTATTCATTATGGTGGAAAGGGTAATCAGACAGGAACAGAGTTAAGGGGACGTCATCACACGTGAAACAACGCGCTGGCCAACGCGTGTGGTAAGTGGTAGTTTTCAACGGCGTTGACAGTGTGCATATACAATTGTATTGATGGAAAACTTCATTTAAGATTACGTAGCAAAACGACAACGACTAGCAAAATAAAAACGACACCCAGTAAGCTTGTTCACCGCGCGTTAAACTGCGTGTTGTCACGTCACATTGTGAAAGTATTTTTTGTAATCTAAATTAAAAACAAGTGTTCAATGAATCATTCAGTTACTATATAGTGCTTACCTTGGGATGTTTTTGTTTTTATTTTGGGTGGAGCGAACACGTCATATTATAGAAAGACAAAGTGTTTATAGAGACATCCGGCGTCAAGGATATCAGACTAGCTCCCAGAGCACCTACAGTTTCCATAGACAATTACCATCTTTTTATTTTTCTAGATACTGCAATACTACTGCCGAAGCAATTCAGCAAGTAACTTAATAAGGGGTTTTTAAAAAATTCTCAGTGGTAGCACGAGGTCTGGAATTGTGCCCAGTATATGGCAATAGGCTTACCCCCTATTACATGGGACTTTTAACATAAGACAGTGAAAAGTGAGTGTTATATGGTGGCATTAAGTGCCGTAATGGGCACCTCTGCCTACCCCTTCGGGGATTTCGCTGAGAACCTAACGGGTAACCGGTGCTCCGGTTCGATGTGCAGGAGTAGAAGAAGAGTAGAAAAGTCGTTTTTAGTCAATAAGAGTGTGACACTCTCTCACGCCTCACCCAGGCGGGAGCAATGATTCGATGATTTTCCCCCCTAAAAAAACAAAAACCTCTTCGGGGATAAAGGGTTAAAAGGTGATGTTATGTATGTATGTATTATTTATTTATTTATAGAACATGGAAGACTTATAGCTAATAAAAAGCAATTAAAAATAACAATAGGCACAGTTATCCGTGAGCCAATTCAAGTCCTCACCGTCACGTTTAAAATATGAGCTTAATATGAATGCGGTGTAGTACTGGGTGAAACAAAAGATAACTAGTCAAGGTTGCATTGAACAACAAAATAGGTTTACAAATAATTTATTTTCTTTCTGGCCATTATTAATATACTGCGACCAAAACGCATATAACACCAGCAGAGGGCGTGCAGAGTCTGGACTTCGCTCCGTCTCCGAGCTCGCTGGAGCTAGGCGAGCGGCAGCACGTGCTGGCGACGGCGGGCGGGGACTCGCTCATCAAGCTGTGGCTCGTGAGCCAGCTCGAGGACGGCGTGGCGGTGCGCGCGGCGCTGACGCTGGAGCTGCACGGCGGCGGCGCCAGCTGCGTGCGCTGGGCGGGCGCGCTGCTGGCGGCGGCGGGCGCGGACCACGCGGCGCGCGTTTGGGCGGTGGGCGCGCGCGCGCGCGGCGCGGTGTTGCTGGCCGTGGTGTCGGTGGGCAGCGCGGGCGGCGTGCTGGCCGTGGGCTTGCTGGGCGCGGCGCCGCTGTTGCTGGCCGGCTCTCTGTCGGGTTCGCTCGCCGTGTGGCAGCTGCCGGCCGAGCTGCCGGACGAGCGAGACGACGAGGAGGGTACGGCGCCGTGCTTCTGGACCCAAGAAGGCGTGCGTCGGTGGCTGCGAGACTGTATCTCGCGAGTGCCCGGTGAGTGGCGGCCCCGCTCCGCGCGTACTGTGCGCTCGTACTACTGAGGCGTCATGTTTTCTTTCTGGCACAGGGTCGGAGCTGCGACGTAATGAGGAGACATTTCTGACTCAAAGATGTCAGCAGATGGAAATGACGGGGTTCATGCTGCTCTCCACCTCCATCGACTCATTACTTGAAACATTTGGATTTGGTAATATTTATTTAATATATCATTTACCTACTTACCGAATAGACAGAGATAAGAATATAATCACGCAATGGTCAGGGAGTGTTGCCTGACATGTAATGGGAGACCCGCAAAATTCCATAGTAAATCCAGTCCTCACAAACACAAATCAAATAAATCCAGTGGGTTTTTTTGATAGAACTCAAGAGATTTCAAATATTCCAGTTAGGAGTCAAGCACTTCCTAACATCTATACTTGCTCATGGCAGATTTATTTAGACTACCTTCTGTCAACCTCTCTGCATACCTTTATGGAAATAATCATCATGACAAAAAGACCAGACAATTTTCTTCGTAAGCTCACTTGTCAAAAAACGTCAGATGACATATCAATGTATACTTATATTATAAACTTGAACATGTGTGTGTGGATACCTTTAAAATTATTTTTACCAATAAAACTATCATTTGTAATACGAGAAGAGCTTATGTACCTATGTAATTGCCGTTATGTATAAAAGATATTTAAAATAAATTGTTTCATGTATTTTTTATTTGTATTAATCGAAGTAATCACCATGCTATCAATGCATGAGCAGTAGCAGTAGCTTTCGACGTAAGCGTCACAACAGTATTGCATTATTAAAATATTGTTTATACATTATGATTATGTTGTAATTTTATTTATTTCATAGATTTTGTTTGTAAATTCAACTCGACGAACCGAAACCGAAATTAATACAGACAACAGATAATAAACTGAACTAAAATCTATAAACTAAAATAAATTAATGACATTTAAATTGGCTTATCAATAGATAAATAATTATGTTTAGTAATGATTTAAAAAGCTTATTTCTACTTTAGTAATCTGGTACATACTTAATATAATTATATTATCATTGGGCGCTTTCGACGAATCATCAGAATCTTTATACTTTGCTCAGGATTGGATTCGGTCACTCAAACCATATATACAAAATAAAATACTATATATACAAAAATAAATTGACAACATTGCAGTAATATTGAGATATTGATTATTGTATTTAAGACTTTTTTTTATTCGCGCGCTTTGTGCTTGTCGACGTCACATTGAACACTGTGTTGACAAACGTCTGTAAGGAGGCTGGGGGCTGCCTTCGAGCCTCGCCATTGTTTGTATGGGGATGCAGCTTTACATAATGTATCTCAATGTTCCCATCAACTTGTGACTCTTTCACGCCAAAACGGTACAAGGGATCAGTATAATATTTAGAACTTTTTATCCCACGAGAAAATAAATAAATCACCGAAAGTTAATCTCTTACTAATGGTCATACATCTTCCGTATCATTCTCCATCTCCAAATGTATTTCTTTGTTTGATTGGCTCGTAGTTCTCATTTACAAACTCACAATAAAATATAAAGTAGACAAAAGTCACAGCTGGTATAATCCATAATAAAATTGTAAACAGCTCAATAATGTTAGGTATCTATTAAGGTTTTAATGAATATATAATAATTAGGTTTAAAACTTGTGGCACCGACTTCTAACCTATCAGTGGGTGTGTAAGCTATAAGTACGTATGACCACTAATAGTTTTTTTTTTCCTTTTTAGTTTTTACTTTTTGTTTGTCATTTGTTTTTGAAGTCGGTTTTTTTTAAACGCAGTTTTTTAATTTTATTTTATACTTTTTAGTTTAGTACTTTGATATATTATATTATACAAAACCCACATGGATGCAAAGTTTTCATCAATACAAATTATGCAAGTTCAAACACCGGGTGGGTACTCTTAACCATTGAAGAGTCCCTTAGCTATCATACTACTTCGTCATTGGACCTTTAATGACCATCACCCCCCCCCCATCTAGGTGTAAAGTCCTCATCAATATAAATTAATCAAACCCAAACACAAAGTAGCTACTGTTAACCGTTGAGGAGTTCCCTCAACTATCGTACTACTTCATCATCAGACCCTTATTGACAATTACACCCCACTCAGGTGTAAAGTCCTCATCAATACAAATTAATCAAACCTAAACACAAGGTAGCTAGTGTTAACCTTTGAGGAGTTCCCTCAACTATCGTATTACTTCATCATCAGACCCTTATTGTCAATTACACCCCACTCAGGTGTAAAGTCCTCATTAATACAAATTAATCAAACCCAAACACAAGGTAGCTACTGTTAACCGTTAAGGGTTCCCTCAACTATCGTACTACTTCATCATCAGACCCTTATTGTCAATTACACCCCACTCAGGTGTAAAGTCCTCATCAATACAAATTAATCAAACCCAAACACAAAGTAGCTACTGTTAACCGTTGAGGAGTTCCCTCAACTATCGTACTACTTCATCATCAGACCCTTATTGACAATTACACCCCACTCAGGTGTAAAGTCCTCATCAATACAAATAAATTAAACCCAAACACAAGGTAGCTACTGTTAACCGTTGAGGAGTTCCCTCAACTATCGTACTACTTCATCATCAGACCCTTATTGACAATTACACCCCACTCAGGTGTAAGGTACTCATCAATACAAATTAATCAAACCCAAACACAAAGTAGCTACTGTTAACCGTTGAGGAGTTCCCTCAACTATCGTACTACTTCATCATCAGACCCTTATTGACAATTACACCCCACTAAGGTGTAAAGTCCTCATCAATACAAATTAATCAAACCCAAACACAAGGTAGCTAGTGTTAACCTTTGAGGAGTTCCCTCAACTATCGTACTACTTCATCATCAGACCCTTATTGTCAATTACACCCTACTCAGGTGTAAAGTCCTCATTAATACAAATTAATCAAACCCAAACACAAGGTAGCTACTGTTAACCGTTAAGGAGTTCCCTCAACTACCGTACTAATTCATCATCAGACCCTTATTGTCAATTACACCCCACTCAGGTGTAAAGTCCTCATCAATACAAATTAATCAAACCCAAACACAAAGTAGCTACTGTTAACCGTTGAGGAGTTCCCTCAACTATCGTACTACTTCATCATCAGACCCTTATTGACAATTACACCCCACTCAGGTGTAAAGTCCTCATCAATACAAAGTAATCAAACCCAAACACAAGGCAGCTACTGTTAACCGTTGAGGAGTTCCCTCAACTATCGTACTACTTCACCATCAGACCCTTATTGACAATTACACCCCACTCAGGTGTAAAGTCCTCATCAATACAAATTAATCAAACCCAAACACAAGGCAGCTACTGTTAACCGTTGAGGAGTTCCCTCAACTATCGTACTACTTCATCATCAGACCCTTATTGACAATTACACCCCACTCAGATGTAAAGTCCTCATCAATACAAATTAATCAAACCCAAACACAAGGTAGCTACTGTTAACCGTTGAGGAGTTCCCTCAACTGGCTCTCGGCTCCATCATCAGATCGGCTCCAGACCTTTATCAGATTGTAGTGGTTTTTAATACTTAATGAAAAAATTAACAAATGCCCTAGTCACCCCTATAATTTTTAAAAGTTCCCCTCGGTTTCCCTGGTCTTCCATCATCAGATCCTGATTTCCTTATCATGGGACCATTCTGGAACTATCTCCTTTCTAACAAAAAAAGAATTTTCAAAATCGGTTTATAAACAACGGAGATATCGGCGAACAAACATAAAAAAAAAAAAAAAGCATATATACGGTCGAATTGAGAACCTCCTCCTTTTTTTGAAGTCGGTTAAAAAATAAATTGACAACATTGCAGTAATATTGAGATATTGATTATTGTATTTAAGACTTTTTTTTATTCGCGCGCTTTGTGCTTGTCGACGTCACATTGAACACTGTGTTGACAAACGTCTGTAAGGAGGCTGGGGGCTGCCTTCGAGCCTCGCCATTGTTTGTATGGGGATGCAGCTTTACATAATGTATCTCAATGTTCCCATCAACTTGTGACTCTTTCACGCCAAAACGGTACAAGGGATCAGTATAATATTTAGAACTTTTTATCCCACGAGAAAATAAATAAATCACCGAAAGTTAATCTCTTACTAATGGTCATACATCTTCCGTATCATTCTCCATCTCCAAATGTATTTCTTTGTTTGATTGGCTCGTAGTTCTCAGTAGTCGGTCGTCGGTCGGTCGAGGATTCAATATCTATTCATTCATTCTGAGTGTCTGTGTTACGTATAGACATAAACAAATCAGAAGAAGGCAGCGAGGACGTGGAGTTGGTGCGCATGCGCGAGGAGCTGCAGTGGCTACAGGCTCCGCCACCCTCCTACCAGCAGGTGAGTTCCTTTTAGTTAAATATTGTCTCCTGACCTAGAATTGCAATGTTTAACATTATGTTCGAATGTTTACTTGGCGCGCCTTGTTCTTGTCCACGTCACGTAGAACACTGAATTGACAAACGTCTGTAAGGCGGCTGGGGACGCCTTTCGAGGCATGTCATATTTTGTATGGCGATTCGAGTCTATATGTCTATCTCGATGACTGTTTGGCTCCAGCATAATTCCATACTTGCAGGAGACGTCGGCCCCGCACTGCCTGCGCTGTCCCCTGTCGCACCGGTTGCTGCGGGAGCCCGTGTTCGCGGCGGACGGCTACACGTACGAGCGCGCCAACATACTCGACTGGTTCCTGGCTGCCGGTACTGACTGGCCGCGCCGTGTGTGTACGTGTGTGTGTGTGTGTGTGTGCACACGCTGTTATGTATGTGTGTGTGTGCAGGTAGCGCGGTGTCGCCGGTGTCGGGGCGGCGCCTGCTGTCCAGTACTCTGCAGCTCAACTACGCGCTGCGGGACCAACTTCGTGACTTTCTGCGGAGCTGAACTTCTACTAATTCGTATCACTTTTATTATCTCCAAATCTGATGTACTACAGACTCGAGCCCGTGTTCTTTAATAAATTCAGATATGACAGCACGTGGTGCACGTTGTTTTATTCCGCTGCTCCTGCTGCGAGTTGCAGGACTAGTCAATCAATGTAATCACATGCTTGTGACTTATATAATGACGTCGTTTGCGAGCACGTGCGATGTGTAATGTTGTTGTCCGTATGTCTAACACCCTCTTCAGATATAATTAACCAACTAAAAACATTCTGTAAGAAACTAGCCAAGACTCGAAGGAGCCGCTCGTTCATCTCTAAAAAGTTACGAAATCTGATAATAAGATGTTATAGCTTAAATTAAGTTGACCTAAATGCAAATACCTAACTTTTACCAAAAACAAAAACATCATTAGCTTCTCTTACATCCTGTGTCATACACCTCTCACTAAACTAAACTCGACCCGGGATCCAAGTGTGACACTTGACTCCAAACTCCACCTAGATCTGTACATCGACAAAACAGTAAACAAGGCATACCAAATGTATATATTCATAATGCGCTCCAGCCTAAGACGACCTCATCTTATACAACATGTAACGTAATTAACGCACACCCTCAAACACCCCAATTAGAATATTATGTTATAATCACACATACACTAAATTTTTAATTTAACATGTATATGCATCCTTACTGGTTTTGTCATAAGGTTTATTTTTCTTTATTTTGTATTAAATGATTTTAAAAGTCTTATTGCTTTGACTTACGGTCCATTTCGATTTGATTTAACAATACAGGGTTAATATGACAATAATTTCCGAGTTTTAATTATTTTTGGGATAAAAAATTACCTATACTAAAAATTATATAAATTGATTCAGTTAACGATTCGAACAAACTATTTCAATACAGGGTGAGCGTTATTTAAGTTACATGTTGTATATCCCTCTATAAAGCCCCTTTTTTTAAGGGGGGAAAATCATCGAATGACTGCTCCCACCAGGGTGAGGCGGGAGGGTGTGTCACACTCTTACTGACTAAAAACCACCCCGTTCCTTCTCCTGCACATCGAGCCGGAGCCCCGGTTACCCGTTAGGTTCTCGGCGACTCCGAATCGGCATCGGCTCTATTGGGCCCCATCCGTGGTGGTCTGATAGCTCTTTGAGGCATGCGCAGAACGCGACGCGCCGTACGCTCGGGTCTGTTTCTGGTCGGACGGGGAGCCACCCATGCTCGCCGTCCGCAGGTCCGCGCTTACGGTGGCCGGAGATCGTCCGCGATCCCCGATGCCCGGTGTGTCCTCCGCGATGGCTCTATAAGGCCCTAGTGCGTTCTCAACTGGAGTATGCAGTTCCAATGTGGAACCTGGATGGAACCCTCACTACAAAAAATACATAGAGGTGATAGAAAACGTGCAACACAGATTCTTACGAGCCATGTGCACTATAGATGCCACAATTCCTACTTGCCTTATGACCAGTTACTCAGTAAATACAAAATGTGACCCCTAAGCTGTCGTAGAATAATCTTGAGCCTATTGCATTGTATCCAATACAATGTTATGAACCTGAGTAAAATGATCTGTTACGCTACGTTTACCCAGAACCTACCTAACACAGGCGTCAAGTACGCGCTGGCACACTTTTTGCACTACCATCATGCCGAACTAACTCTGGTCGGCGTCCCCCTATCTAGCGAATGGTTCACTCGTACAGTACAGTGTCCGCTGGGTAAATTCAAGCGACTTATCCACAACACTGTTTCATATAAAATATTTACGTTCTATTTACTTTCTTATGTTAAAACTACACCAACAGATTTTATTTTATAAACAATTTTGGCCTCTAGTGATTAATTAATTAGTTTCTGTATTTATTACATTCTAATGGCAACGCGTGGATATTGTTGTGGGTTGCATTATTGCCCAAAATGTAACTTGTTTAAACTATACTTAGTAAGACTTTGTAATGTAACCGCTTACTGTTCCTCTTAATAAAAACAAAAGAAAAAATAAAAAAGAAACATCTACCTGCATGCCAAATTTCAGCCTGATCCGTCCAGTGGTTGGGGGCTGTGCGTTGATAGATCGCTATGTCAGTCAGTCAGCCACCTTTGAGTTAAATATATTTAGATAGTAGAAGGAGGCACTGCCATATTTATCATACAGCTGAGACCTGTTGATGTTTCTTTATCAGAATCTTCAGACTTTCGATTTTTGACACGAAATGCAGCGGCCCACCAAGTTGAATATTTTTTGTAAAGGCAGTACGTGCCAGTCTCTAATAGTTTGGTCGGGCTTTTGTGGTTTCTAACCAGTACCAGGGTATTTTTTTTTTAAGGGGGGAAAATCATCGAATGACTGCTCCCGCCTGGGTGAGGCGGAAGGGAGTGTCAGACTCTTACTGACTAAAACCACCCCGTTCCTTCTCCTGCACGTCGAGCCGGAGCCCCGGTTACCCGTTAGGTTCTCCGCGACTCCGAATCGCCATCGGCCCTATTGGGCCCCATCTGTGGTGGTCAGATCGTCCCGCGATCCCCGACGCCCGGTGTGTCCTTCGCGATGGCTGGGTTGCGAGGAGGCAGCGCTTCGCTGCCTCACGCGTCCCGCCTCCTCCTTAGCTAGCATGACTGCTTCGCAAAAGGAGGAGACGGCATCCCAGTCCCCCTGGCTCCGCATCATGGCCTGCACTAGGCCCGGACGCGAGAGGGACCAGTACCAGGGTTGCCAGGTACTTTAGATCTTCGATTATCCTAGTTTTTATAGTTTTCCCTTTATCTGGCCATTAAACTTACCTCTGTATCAAATTTCGGTTCTCTAAATGTATGGGAAGTACCAGTTCTATTTTGATGACCACGAGCGGGCGACTGAGTGAGTGTCATAATGTGAAACTTTGCTTCGCATAATTTTGGTACTAAATAACCTACAAACTTGAAATTTTGGATTTTGAGAACGTTATTATAGCATACTGGATGATGACAATTTCTGCGTTCTGGTCTTATCTAGAGGTTCTCAAATGGGTGAAATGGTTCCAGTAAAGGAAGGTGGTACGGTGGCGCGCGACTTGGCGGGGGCACCGCCGCGCCGTGCAACCAGATACTACAATTCGTAGGAATGTCACAGCAATAATACTACTAGAAATGTTTCAACGATTTCATCTTTATTTTGTATCACTTAAGATATATATTTACAAAGTGAGGCAGTAACAGTGTCAACGAACCAAACTTTTTACTCGGAACCACTGTTTAACGATTTGCAAATAACAAAACAAACAAAATGTTATAATAAGTCTTTGATTATACATATATATATATATGTCTAGATGGACTGTCGCTATACAATTACAACAGAAATGGCATTGCATGTGTGCGCGCGGTTTACACAAATTTATATCTTCCATAAATATTTGGGTACATGCACTAGACCCCTATATTAAATATTAATAATCTTTTTGAATTTGTTTATAAAATATTTATTTTTTGGACACTGCGTCGATATTTATGATTTTAAAGTAACTAATTTATTTCCGTCTGAAATATACAATTGAAGATATTATTAACATTATTTCTAAAACAATAATTATAGTAAATAGGTATTATGGCACCCTTTCCACCAAGAAATTTAACTAAATCGATTCAATAATTTCATAGAAACTGTCGAAGATCAAAACGAACCTTCTTATTTTAGTTGTAAAGAATAAATAAGACATTAAAGCTTTGGAAAGTCTAAATTCAATAAACAATAAAATTATTATTTTATTTTTAATTTACAAGCAAGTAATAATTTTCCAGATTTTCCCTCTCGTTGAGAGGGGAATATTGAAAAATAATTGGCAACACTGATAAAATATGGTGGCAATTAGTAAGGTCAAACACATAAACTAAATAATATATTTTTTAATTATCTAACGATGGATAAACGATCTGTTGGGTGCTTTTTAATCGTCTTTTATAATTTCGATTTTATGGAGCATGTGGCCATTTTTGCAATGTACTTTTTATTTTTGTATTTATTTTGTAGCGTAGGTACATGACACGTAGTGACGCCTAGGTGACATGGTTGGTACTATTTGACGGAAAAGTGCATTGCAGTGAACAGTTCACCGTGTACTGACACTCCATCTAGACATTATATGTATAATCAAAGTAATAAGTACCTTGGGGCCCGCCGGGCTCTGTGGCTGCCCTCGGCACGGGGCCCACGGCACGGGGCCCACGGCACGGAGCCCTCGGCACGGGGCCCGCTCCCCACAGCACAGAGCGCTGCGTCCCCGGCTCGCACTGACCACATCGGTCATATAATTACAAAGTTGATCGTTTTCAATTCAAACAATTCACAGGTTCTCTTACAATTCCTTGCAGCTTTGTACAGTTTAACAAATGATACGAGTAAATACCACGAGTTGCTTGCCAGTGGTTAAAACGATTTCGATGTCGTAATGAGTAGTCGAGCGAGAGTCCGGCGGCGACGAGCCCGCGGTGCCGACCGAGTCGGACCCGGCCACGGCGCCGCCGGGCTGCCGGATTAGTAACTTCTTATCGATAAAATTAATTATAATCATTTATAATAATTATGTACAACTTTACAAATGTGAAATACGCCCGAGCAGCGGCCTGCCCGCAAGGCACCGCTTCGCTCGCCTCGTCGACCTATTTACATAGTTTTGTTTCCCATAATATAAACTTTAATAGGTAGATACCGATACGAATAATTTCGTAATTTTAATTATTTAATGTTCTCACATCGTTCATATCACAACGCGTACGACTGACCGTTCCTTTATCTAAGTAATACATCAGAAATTTTTACAATACTTTAAGTTAACACCTCGCATCGCATGCGACGTGTAGCTGGACGTGAGGGCGCGCTCGCCCGACACACGCACACATTCACACACACACACACACACTGTCCGCACTGAGTCCGCGCGCGCTCACACTTCGCTGCGCTATTGGCCATCGTCCTCGTCGTGACATAGCACCCTGCAACAGACAGCCTCCGTCAGTACACCGGCGCGAGGGGGGATGAGGAGGAGGGCCGGGGGTGGGGAGAAGGGCCGGGGCAGTACTCACGGGCAAAGCAGCGCCAGCGCTAGCAGCAGCAGCAGGCGGAGCAGCACCAACTGCGGGCGGACGTGCGGCGCGGCCGGCGCCAGGCCGGGCAGCCTGGGCAGCGCGGGTAGCAGCGCGGGTAGCGCGGGCAGTCCAGGCAGCGCGGGTAGCAGCGCGGGCAGCGCGGCCGCCGCCAGCAGCGCGCGGCGGGGCGCGGCGCCGCGCGCACCGTTCCCGTGCTGCATGGCCGCCGGCTGCTCGCCTGCAACTCCCGTACGTTCCAATGTACTACACGTAAAATGTACAGATCGTATGAAACGTTCATAACGCATAGAGTACTGACCGCTGAGCACGTGTAGCATGACGGAGGCGGAGTCGAGGTTGGAAGGCGAACACGAGTAGTTCCCGGAGTCCTCGCGCCGCGGACTGTAGATGATGAGGTTGCCCACCTGCAACAGGTGCGGTGAGAGCAGTGAGGTGAGAGTGCCTGCCTGGCGGGAGGCCGAGTATGGCAGAGTATGGCGGGGACCGCGCAGGTTTACCGTAGTGTCAGGCGCGACGCGCTCCATGCGTATCTCGACGAGGCTCTTGTCGTAGTTGAGCACGCGCTCGTCGTTGTGGTACCAGAAGATGTAGGCGGGCTCCTCCAGCGCCTGCGTGATCACACACTTCAGGCTCACTGTCGTGCCCGCCTTCACGTACAGCTCCGACTCGCCCACGATCTCAATCTTTGGCACTGCGGAAGCGAGTAGGAAAGTATTAGTAACACAGGATGCTATAACTTTATTAAGACTTTGACGTGTAGAAATTCCTCGAGAGATTCAAACGTATTGCTTTGTGTTTCTCCATTTGAGTGAGGTGGAGTAAAGCCTAATCTTCCCTTTCCCACACAAATCCTCAAAAAGTGTGCAATGCACTTGTAACTCCTCTGGTATGGCGGGTGTAATGGATGGCACCGAATACTCACCATCAGGTGATGTGTATCTACTTCAGACAAAAGTTACCGAAAGTTTGTTGAGTGGAAAACATGTTGGTGAGCCTCACCTACGACGTTGAGCTGCACGAAGTGGCTCATCTTGGGCTCGGTGCCGACCTGGCACTCGTACACGCCGGCGTCCCGCGCCTGCACGTACTTCACCTGCACACACATTCGTTGAGTGTCACTCTCACACCACGCTCCAAGAACGTTAGCCAATAACTGTATGAAATCTGAATCGAAAGCTAGACTGAAGTAGACAAAATTCGGTGAAATACCTTCCTAAATACGTCATGATCGAGAATGAAATCGTACAGAATGTGCAAGTTTGAATAATACAAGACGCACCTGGAGAGTCCAGGTGTCGGTGGCCTCCACGAGGAAGGCCTGGAAGCGCTCGTCGGCAATGAACGTGAAACGGTCCACAGTGAGGATGTGCGCGTCGCGCCGTCTGATCCACGACACCGACTTGTTGCTCAGCTGCCGCACCTGCACGGTACTATTGTCAATAACCTGTTTCTTGTAAATTATATCTGTTGCTGTAAATGTCTCACTTCGTATTAAAACTGTCATAAGACTTACTTACTAAGGTAATTATGTTACGTTTCACGCCACGGCAGGGCCTTGCACGACAAATGATGAAAAGAAACTCAACTTGTCAAGTTCCGTCGTCAAACAATTATGTATCGTATGTCGTAAAATCTAATGCATGAGTCACTTCATTGTTTTGTGGGATATTGAAATGAATCACTTGTTTGGACTAGTACAAAATATAAGGACGCGTATAGTGTGTACCTTGCAGGGCAAGTAAGCATGCGTCCCGAGCTGCGTGGTGATGTTGTTGGGCGCGGAGGGGTCGAAGTAGGGCCCCGTGTACAGCCCCACGTAGCGCTTGGTGAGCCGCGGCCCGGCGCCCGCCTCGCCACACGACAGCACTGCAACCACACCACGTTACACATTACAATAATATTCCAAACTACCGACCTGCCTCGGTTCTGTAAGTATAGAGTCCTTTAGACAATTCGATGTGTTCGTAACATAAAATGCATTCAGCTACAATTTCACAATTATATATATGCGAGTAACTACAAAACGTGTTATCCCGCGAAGATCAGACCGTGGCGTAGTGCGGCGTGGCCACCTAGTCGGGGTGGTAGAACTGTGTATGGGAATGTGTGTCCTAAGTAACAGTAAAAGCTGCTTTAAAATTCATTAAGTGCTTTAACGAATTGAAGTACAAAAATGACTATGTATTCAGCATTGTTGGGCAAGTAATCGCAAAAATTGTGCCCAACCGAGCGAGGGGCTCGTGTTAAGTTACCAGTTGGAAAATGTATTGATGAAACAATATTTATTTATGTACATACAATATACATGCTAGAATATCAGTTAGGTTTTTTCACACGCAAGATGCATGACAAGTTCGTAGCCGAATATACAGGATATTGTTTCATTTCGTCATCACTTTTGGGAAGGAACTTTATTTCCCAAACGCTGCTGGACAGTTCCAATATGAACTTGGATAACACAAAAATCGCACAAGTCTGTCAGAACAGTGTGTGTGGGAGTCGTAGAGGTCGCCACGTGCGATACCTCATATTCCGGAATAAATTTAGTTTTTATCGATGCCACCCGTCTGTACCCGATATTGAAGAAGAAAATGAAATCCTAAATCATTTCAGCTTCACCGAAGACAGGCGTCTCAACCCCTGGAGTAAACACGATCTTGGTGTACTACTACTTACTATGCTTAGTGATTGAAGTGATCCACGGCTGACACTGTGGTACTGACCGATTGAGCGGATCGCTGATCGAAATCTTTAAGAATGGTTTGAAACCAGGAATGATTTTATTTAGGTATATTTACATTAATTACATCAAAGTGGCCTGATTTTAACATTTTAACAGTGAAGTTATCAATCTGTGTGTATACGATTATTGTAATATAATTATTATACAAGATATTACAACAGTAGTGTGCGATAATTCTTTGCAATAAAATATTATAAAACAACGTATGCTCCACGTGTACTCCGAGCGTTTGCTACGAACGTGTGGTACGAACGTATGCTACGAGCGAGTGCTACGAGCAAGTACTACGAGCTTTTGCTTTGAATGTGTGCTAAAAGACTAACTAAATGACGTCACAAGTTATTAAATTTTACAGTATTATACATTATTTGTAATGTTAATAAATCATATATAAAAATCAATAAAGAATAAAATGTGACAATCATAAACCATCAAAAAATTCGTCATCGTTATTAAGAGGAAGGCTGCCCAAAAAACTAGCAACACATAATTATGTATATTCATAACTATATTTATATAGAAATATAGTTATGAATATACATAATTATACAAGTATACAGGTATTCACAAATTCAGTACCATTTATTCGAATGAATTGTGCAATGATAACAAAGCGTTAGCCGCCACTTGCAGAGATGGCAGCGATAGTACAGGACTGATGGAATATAATGTTCACAGATGAAGTGATTCCGGGTCGTGTCAGTAGTGGATGTGCTGGTGCAGTGTCGCATAACGGAACCGGAAAGAGGCTGTGGGACTGGAGGAGGTCATAGGGAGGCTGTGTGCTGCCCACCGTGCTCCAAAGGCGTGGAGCGGGGGGGGAGGGGGAAGGGGAAGGGTGGGTCCGAGGTGTAATTAAAGCTGCAATCAGAATCGCAATCTGTCCCCGGAGCAGTCGCGACACATTGACGTTTGTTCGCGGTGACGACGTTCAGAATTGCTCAGCGTCAGTAATTATCCAATCATATTATGTGATGGTTCGGTCTAAGGTTACAGAGGGTGGATTCTTCTAAATACCTACTTGTAATCGGTCTGCGATAAAGTGGTCATCTACAGGCACCTCCGGTGCTAAGCCGTTACTGTACATTGGAAGAGCACTTTGTACGATAACACTTTAGAGGTATAACAAGGTTAGTATCTGTACTCAGAAACATGTGGCCGAGTTATATCCGAAATAACTTTAGTACTCTGCTTAATAACTGTATGTTATTATTTATTTGTAAGAAAAACAATGTAACTTATCAATAATAGACAATAAAATAAATAAAATCAAGGTAGTAACTAACAGCTTCCTGCCTGTTTCAAGAAAGCTACAATATAATTTGTCCCTCATCGGCAAGTCACTCGTGGTTTACCATTTACCATACGACGACCAGTAAGGAAGCTTTATTGTATAAATAAATTATTATAATTATAACCGTTATATAAACCTGAAGAGTTTGTTTGTTTGAACGCGCGTCCCAGGTATTACTGGTCCGATTAGAAAAAATGTTTTTGTGTTGGGTAGACCGTTTATCGAGGAAGGCTGTAGGCTTGTACGTACATGTTGAGAGCGAAGAGGTGAGAGTGTACTGTGTATGTATGTACTGCGTACACGATATGTACGACGGGGAGGGAGGGAAGATCAGGATGATCGCATGCCGTGGCCACATTCAGTCCACTGCGCTGTACACAGAATGTTCCCTTTAATTTGCAACACACAACATCGCCGTAAATCACTCGGTTGGCTCGAGAGGGATATTAAATTCATAGCGTGGTGCTCCGACATTATAACACAACAAATATTGTTCCTTGTTACGGCTCGCTTTATATTGTATGCTATCGACTTCCACTGCCAAAAATACAGTAAGAGAGAAATAAAATGTTGCACTGCACTAGCACAGTATAGTTGCCTCGGTAATCTATACATATAATAAAACAGTAAAATATTGCATCTGTACAAACAAGATTAAAAAAAAAAAAAAAACAGGATGACTAAATAACACCAATAGAGTTCATTTTTGAAACGAAAAATATGTTTGTACGTTTGTCTGCATTGTGGCTGAGGCATCATCAAATAAATTTATTTTCTTACTTTCTCTTTTTTTTAAACAAAAGTACCTTACAAGCCTTAGGTGCTTTAAGGTTAACGAAGATGTCAAAAAAGGAGAAAAGAGAGCAAAATTAAGACAAATGTTGCACTGACATCAAATCATCTGGTACCAAAGAGCAGTGGTGACGTTGGTGAGGGTCGGCCTAAGAGAGCACGTGGTAATTAAAGGTACCTATAAAATAACACGTACTGACTGATTCATCAACGCTGAACCCAAACCATCAGGCTTTAAACATTAACAAGTTAACCGCCGCGTAGGTCACCGGTGACTTACGTTAGCGGAGGATTTGCCTTCAACAGCTGTTTGTCCGCAGTCAAAGGCTTAATTTTGGACTGTGTACATTCACTTTGTCATGAAAATGATAATTAAGAAATTATTAAAAACAAATCCATGGGTACCTTAGAGAAAAACAGAGGATGGTATTAAGATTTTTAAATGAATTTAAACAAAGTTTTGTATTTCGGTTATGAACGTAAAACAAATAAATACGTGATTTAGGAACTTTTAACAAAATGGTAAGAAACTGACGTTGATCTACGGTTGACAAGTAATTAAGAAAAAATTAATGAAGAGCACTTATTCGAGCGGCGACTGCAGCGCAAATAAAATGTTATTTCCATGATATTGTTGAAGTTTTACACGGCTCGAGTGTGCGGCTTACGTAACCTAGTATCCAGAACTTGCACCGCGCCCCCCTTCCCCGGCCCCCGGCCCCCGACCCCCGACCCCCGCCCCCCGCACCTCTGCTCACGTTGAACTGCTCTAAAACGGATTCTCTTTACAATATTTCTTTTCCAGTTCGAATGTGAATTTCCCGCGGCGATGTGAACTATTCATGCGCTCCAAGAGGAAAATTTATTGCGAGATATTTTTTGATTTGAAACAAAGTTTTAATATTACAATGACATCGGCGCAGCTGGCCATGTGACACACGGCTCCGTGTCTCCAGCCGCTGCTACTCACAGCTCTCTCTACAGACGAGACTGCTGTATGAGACATGAGCGTTGTACTAGACTTTTGGCCGTATTCTCCTATCACCCCTAGACTTTCACCTAGCCAAAAGTTATTTAGCGTGAGGGTTTATGTGAACTAACTCCTTACTTGTACTGTTAGGTATAGAGATACGTAGAGACAAAGTCGCTATCCGCCGTCTGTCCGTCTTTATGTATGCTTAGATCTTTAAAACTACGCAACGAATTTTGATGTGGTTTTTTTAATGCATAGTGATTCTTAAGGAGGTTTTATATGCATAACACATGCATATTGCACCCGTGCGAAGCCGGGGCGGGTCGCTAGTCACTTATATGTTTAGGAGTCTCTCGTCCCGCCTTGGAATCAAACCCGGAACTCGCTACGCAGTTGCACTTGCGATCCACCACCAACGACGCAATCGTATCTGTGTGTATGAGAGATATAATAATAGTTATATTGAATGATGGTAAACTTGTCAAGCAGTTACAGTCGTCTCACCTTCACAACAGTACGGGGCCTAATTTTAATTCCATCGTACCTGAATACCTGAATCATTGAAGATTTCAAACGATAATTTATGAAAAGCGCGGCGGAGGCTGGCGCGCCGACCATTCTGCTGCCTTTACATATTTTCAGTTGGAGCTATTGAATTTGGTGGCCGATGTATTAATGTGGGGGAGGGGGGTTGCGAGGTGGTGGGGGGGGGGGGGGGGTAGCCACGTCAGCAACATCTCGCAGTCGTATGACGAGTGACGAGCAGTTTATTTGTAAGGACTTAGTGATCGGCCGGGAGCGAGCGTCGTTTGTTATCTGGAGCACCGCCGGCTCGTTAGCTGTATACGTATTACGTATAGATATTATGTTTACCAGTAACCTCACCTCCTGCGTTCTGGATAGTAATACACAGTACAAGAGGTGGTAGTAATTGCTGAACAGACCTATATGTTTTCACGATATAATACTTAATATATAACTTATAACCTACTATATTTCAGATTTGACGTGTTTGTTTCTGTGACAGACTGCTCAACCGTTCAGCCGCCAAGCCGCAATGCCTTCTTTGATTCCTGTCACGCGTTGGCGCGGATTCATTCCACTACGAGTGAGCCTTTTTATAATTTAATCTTATTACTATGTTACAATGAAAATGATAAAAGGGCGAGCGACGCGTGCGAATATTCATGAGTGACGCTTTTCTGTGTCAATGGCAACAGTGGGACAACGGCGAAAGCGGTAAATTGGAGGGCGGCTGTGCAGCTCGCGTCCGAGTTAATTCCATTCGGCAAATTGCTCAGTAAATAACGAGGCTGACGGACACATAATAGTTTTCCAATTTGTTCGTCGCTCTTATAATTTCATTGCTTTTTGATGGCAGCGCTTTGTGACTAACGAACCGGGACTTGATGAATGTTTTATTTTCTGGCAGACCGCCGCGCTCTAGCTCGAGCGACGCCGGACTTTATTATTGTATTCAGGTACTTACTTTGTGGTGACTGTACTTACTAACAAATCGACTTCCAACGTTCGTGTATTACATTAGCTGGTGACTGTATGAGACGCGCATTAGTAAGTCAGAGCGTTAGTAAGAAGACAGTACGTTAGGTTTGGTTGCGTGGCAACGTTACGTTTTGTTTATAATAAACGTATACAAAAGTCAATTGATTTCACAACAAGGCAGCATGGCGTTTGGTTGAGATATTTGATATACTTAAAAAAAATATTGAATTCTTTGCTATGTTTCTGCTATGTTATCTGTGTTTCGGGAAGGGTGTCTGGGTATCTTCAAGGCCCAAGTGAATAGGTTGCTTATGGGCCGACGTGCACCATCGTATATCACATCATCGCTAACCACCAGGCAAGATAGTAACCAAACGTCGACCCATCAAATATATTCCACTGCGAGTGTACAACCAGTGGTCACTCACTATAGCCCCGTGGCTATTATGAGCCCCGTGGTTTATTTGATAAAACGTAATCATTTGCATAGGATTAGAATAATGTATTTGTGTTATTCATAAGATTTTTGTTTTCTCAATCTATCTAACGTCACTAAATACGTGTATTTATGATATTTGGTCTAGCACAGATGTCACTTCTCTTGATATGAATAAACTATCGTACTAAAGGTACTTAATGTCTAGTTACTTTTGAACTGAAGCCGAGGGAAGCCCCTCTAATTCGTAGGTCGGCTCGTAGCTCGTAACTTCGTAGCTCGTAACCTCGTAGCTCGTAGCCCGAATCTCGTAGCATGCTACGCGCGTCGTAGCATCGGCGTTCCTCTGATTGTTGTTTGCACCTTGCACGTTAGCTACGCACGAGCAGATAGTGCGGCAATATTGAATGGAAGCTAACACATGAATATTCAGTGTTCCAAGTTAACAGCGTACTTCAGTTTAGCGAGTTCACAAGTTCCTGTACTCGACCAATGGAGCTGTATATATAGCTCGTTAAACAAAATACTGATTACAGAATCACAACATATTTTCATTACAAACAGTTTATGACATAATTCATATATACGCAATTTACTTACGTTTGGGGCTGTATGTGTATACGCTAATGAAATTTAATGTAGAGAATATCTGCAAGTTTTTTGTAAAACAAAAAACGACAAGACTCAATGTGCGCGGGCACAGTCTTAGAGAAGCATCCACATAATACACATGCACTCATACACATAAATAATAAAAAAGGAACACAATGTAGAGTCGACCGGAGCTCGTGATTAATTAGAAACAATGCGAGTGGCCGGGGGCCCAGCCCGGCCCGGCCCGGCCCAGCCCGGGGCCCGGTCTCCTCGCGCACGAAACAAAGCGAGCAATCCCGCTGGAACCGGCCGCTCTACCCGCACCGGCGCACACCGCGCACTGTTCACTCGCTTTACAAAAATCGCTCATTTTTTGTATCCATAATTATCTAAGACAAGCTGCGGTCACTGTGGGGCAGCCGCAGCACCCAGCGCACTCTCTGTGCTCGGGTATACAATAACAGCGTCGTGTGAGTTGCCAATTGGTCAGTAACAATGCAGTCGGCTTTGTGAGTCAATAGTCTATATATATAAAAGAAAGTCGTGTTAGTTACACCACTTATAACTCAAGAACAGCAGAACAGATTTGGCTGAAAATTGGTAGGGAGGTAGCTTAGAGCCAGGAGACCGACATAGGATAAACCCTTTTTAACCAATTTTTTTTTACTTTTACCGAAAATCACGAACGGGGACGGGAAAAAATGGGATTACACGTACGAAGTCGCGGGCAGAAGCTAGTTTAATATAATTCTGGTGTCCTTTGTATACTGGTATCACACATTATGTTATTTTGTGTGTAACACACATTAAAATGCGTTTGGTTACTTGGACACGCCGCTTAGCGCCGCTCATGGACACTCGCAACACCAGAGGAATCACAGGTGTATTGCCGGCCTTTTAGAAAGGACCATATCGGTTCGGAATTTTTCCGGATTGTACATATAATAACCAACGCTACCCGCAATTAGTCACACGCATGAACGTCTCACTTCTTTCATTCGAGAAATTCTTTCTTTCTACTTTCTATAAAGGACCTTATAGTTTCTATGGTTAGTCGTTTGAGTGGAAAGTTCAATAAATTACTCAGTTACCCCGAAGACGGGCTTTATATATATGTATTTAAAAAAATAACGCTCCTCTACACCCTAGAAGACTAGGGTCTTCTCTTGTGTATCGTGGGTGCGTTTATTACAAACACATTACACAACACCCAGACACGAAACAACAATTTGCGGATTACACAAAGGGTTCCTCAGTGCGGGAATCGAATCCAATACACGTTGTGCGGCATGCGGCATCCGGTTGCCCCGCTACCGCGCTAACCGCGCAGTCAAAATATTCTTAGGTGTATGTGGATTGATAGTAAACAGCACGCGACATAATAAAATTGATAATTCTTTAGTCGGTAATGTAACACTTGCTAATTATGAACACTGTCGCCGAATAAGACGGTTTGTCAGTCAGGATCATACAACAATCAGAGTTTGAATGATATAGTGCGTGCAGACGGCCGCGCGGGCCGCGGCGGGCGGCGGGCGGCGGGCAGCAGCGGCGCACGGGCCGAGCCGGGCGGCGGGCGGCGGGCGGCGGCGGCGCACGGTCGTCGCGTGCCGTCAACGCGTTAGGGCGGTGTTCCGGTCTTACTCTGCTTGCTGATTGATCGCTGCGATTACACGCTCATTCACGTCTACTTTGCACCGCGGCCGGCACCGCACCGCCGCACGCGTCACGTCTGCAAGGAAGTCTGACGTGTGCGTACTCCAGACACTAGCTACCTCTAGATACTGCACCCGACTTACACACGATCGCAACTCACTACTATCACTACACGCAAAACTATATTATTAGACACATAACCACTGTTTAATTATTACAATGACTAGAATATAGTTCCAGATTTAACAAAATATATTTTGCGTATGTGAGTCATCTTGTAAATTGAACGTGTATCGTAGAAAAAATACAATGAGACCACAATCAACAAATACAAAATAAATATTAGTCTGTCAGTCAGTTTGTTAGTGAAGCTAGGTGAAGCTGGTGCTCATACCAAAATGTCGTTTCGAACGCAGAAGAACGAGCAAGAAAATCGATTCGTTACTCTTTTTAAAAAAAGTATGTTCAAAAGATACGCTCGACGCATTAAACAAATTACAAAACTTACTAAAATAAAATAAAAAACAAAACAACATAAAAAAATCTTATACTTTTTAGGGAACAGAGTGACCAGGCTGCACACCTTCATTGCAGGTGATGGTGGTCCCTGATAAGGCGGAGAATGCTGGTTGGCTCGGAGGTTTAAGACGTCCACTTCTTATGCGGGAGGGAGCGTGTTAGAAACCTACCAAGCCACGAAAAGTACCAATGAGACTTTTTCCGTGTTATATGTACTTTCTAAGATTATCAAGATATCACTGATAAACGGTGAAGGAAAACATCGCGAGGAAATTATAAGTTTGTAATCACCAACCTGCAAGCAGGCGTGGTGATTAATGGTCAAACCTTCTCCGTGTGAGAAGAGGCTTTGCTCAGCAGTGGGCATTTATAGACTGTTTTTACCGACTTCAAAAAAAGGAGGAGTACCTCCTCCTTTTTTTGAACATTCAAAAAAGGAGGAGTACCTCCTCCTTTTTTTTTGAATGTTCGGCTGATTGTTTTTTTTTTTTTTTTTTTGTTTATTCGCGCAGTACTCCGCCGTTTGTGGACCGATTTCGAAAATTTTTGTTTTGTTTGAAAGGGTATACTCCCGAAATAGTCCCATTTCCATGAAGTCAGGATCTGATGATGGGATCCTAGGGAAACCGAGGGGAACTTTCGAAAATTCTATGGGGGAGTAATGCGTCTATTATGTTTTTCAATTACGAATTTTAAACACTACAATTTGATAAGGGTCTGAAGTCGACCTGATGATGGAGTCGACAGACAGTCGAGGGAACTCCTCAGCGGTTTATATTAACTACCTTGTGTTTGGGCTTGATTAATTTGTATTGATTAGGACTTTATACCTAGATAAAGTGGGGCTGTCATTAAGGGTCTGATGATGAAGAAGTGTAATTGTTAAGGGAACTCCTCAACGGTATACAGT